TCGTTATCAGATCAGAAGGCAAAATACGACTAGTAGTCATCAAAACGCAACTAGTCATCACCTGAAGCCTATTCATCATTACTTGTGGAAAGTATGCCATACTGCATTGAAAGCTGGTGATACAGACGATTGCTTATACCCCCTTTACACTGGACGGCGTCCTTTCTGCGTCCTCTCTGCGACCATGAAATTTGGCATCGCTGTGGTCTTAATAAGGAGGCACGAGCATTAATTTTGTATCAGAATGATTGCTCAATGATCAGCCAGTTGTCGGCACGTAAAATATTATATTTTTTAAACTCTCAAATGGGGCCGTACTGCTGGACGCAGAAAGGACGCCGTCCAGTGTAAAGGGGCCCTTAATTAATCAACTGTTTGGTCCCCACTTTGAAAAACATGACCCCCCACCATAGTACCATCCTTCCCTCCTATACTGCATCTGTTTTACCCTCATATACAGATATTCATGCAGTTATTGACTTCCACCTGGTTACGCTACAAATTATACTTTGTTCTCATAATCAGCTTCTCCCTCCCTCCCCTTTCTAATGTCATCGTTCCACCAAATGTTCCAACTGTAATGTGCTAATAAAGGAGTATTCGGTCCGCATGCACGCAAGCACACACACACACACACACACACACATATACAGAGAGAGAGAGAGAGAGAGAGAGAGAGAAAGAGACAGAGAGACAGGGAGGGGGAGGCATACACCACACAATGTGCTTTGAATATCATAGCTTAACCAAACCCTTACATCGCCCCGTCTTCAAAAACACACATTTGACCTCTTATTTCTACACGTCTTTGTTCATTTGTTTACCAGGCACCTGTACATTAATTGATTCACTTTATTTTGAGGTTGCGTACTACGTAAATGTGAACTACGAGTACATACAAGCACTGCGACATGTATACTAATAGACGCACGTTTTACTTGATTTGTTTTTTGGCTCTTGGGAAGGAAAGAAAATCACCGTAATTTTTTAAACATTATTTAGTTTTTCCTGAGTTACTGTCAAAGTGACACTGAGTTTGTAATCATAATTTCATATCATCATTGTGTTCTATCTTCATCCCATATGCAAGTTTCACCAATGCATGTCGTAGGGCAGTATTTTCTTCTAGCCAGCTCAAGAGTACGATCCTGTAAATTGTGCAGTTGACGTGGCCCTTTTTAAGGTTCTGCGCAAATATTATACAGAGCTCCTACTGTTTAGTTCTGTTATGACGCACTGCACTAAGCAACAGCGCACCAATGGCTTTGTTGCGAGTACCTACTTGAATACCAAATACATTCACCATTGTATAGTGCACTTATTCTTTTGAAATGTTTACCATTACTTTATTCACATACTAAAAGGCGACATCAATGCGAGGCAGTTTTCACATTAATTACCCGATAGGGTCGGCGTCTACACAGCTCCGTGCCCGGCCTGGGAGGTAAAGTCACAAGATGGCCGAGAAAGAATTCTACGACGTCTTCAGTGAGAACTTTTTAACGTGTCATATATGTCTGGAGGAATTTAAAAACCCGAGAGTGCTCCCCTGTTACCATTCATTCTGCCTGGAATGTATTGCTGACCATGCAGCCAAGAATGGTGTCCAGAACAAGTTCTCGTGCCCCGTGTGTCGCCAAGAGGCCCCTGTACCACCAGGTGGGTTAGAAACTCTCGCCAAAAACTTCTTCTTAAGGAAAGTAATAGACTTCATGAAAGATCAGAAAGCGCCCGAGGGGAAACTTTGTGAGTATTGTAATCATAAAGAGGCCACTTTCATGTGCAAAGTTTGCCCAGAAACTAACCAACTGTGCGCAACATGTCGTGATGTTCACGACAAAATTCCATATTGCAAGGGTCATTTGATTGTACCTCTGTCACAAGTAGACTTGTCAGCTAACCCAGTTAGTATACGAGATCAGTTACGCCACGTATTAGATAAAGCTCAATACTGCGACAAACACGGCAGCGAGTTGCTGACATTCTATTGTGAAGAGGATGACATCGTGGCATGTAGAGATTGTATTTTGGAAACTCACAGTAAACACAACTTTAAAAAAATTGGAGATGTGGTGAAAGTTCAGCGGGAGTCAATACTAGAAAAATTGATTTATTTCCCAGGTGCGAAACTGCCTCGTTTTGAAAAGGCGGAGAAAGCCATTGTACGAATGGAAGAGAGGTTTACAGAAAATCATAGAAAGGTTCTTCGTATGGTGGATTCTCAGAAATTAGCTATGACGGAGGATATTAAAGAAAACAGTGAAACCATTGAAAGAGAACTCAGGGCTTATTATCAACAAGTAGAGAAGGACGTACGTCAACAGACCGACGCGTATTTAAAAAGTGTAAAACAACATTTGGAAACGTACCAAACAAAAGTACAGTCAGATTACACCGAAATGCAGAAAGTTATAGATGACAAAAGCAAGGAAATAACGGCAGAAGTGAAGACACTCACCTCCACGCAGGTGAAGACTTTAGAAGCTGAAAAAGACAAGCAAGAAATGACTAAGATTTCCATTCAGAGCATTCGTAATTTCGCTCAGCAGCTCACAGACACCGGTTCTGACACCGAGGTCATGACCCACTCTAAAAAACTCCAAACTAAAATTCAGGAGTTACAGACAGTAGAACCAGACCTTGATGACAAGATCATCGACATAACATTTACACCAGGGAAAACAAAAATGGACGTTGTGCTACAGTTTCCTAAAATACCTGAACCACAGCTGTCCATCAAAGCAGGGTCCATCACGGCCAAAACATACCAGGGTCCCTTGGATGCATATTTTGGAAGTTTGAAACAAGATAGAGCGTACTATCCCGAGCTGATGGAATTTCAGAAAATCTGTTGGCTTGGAACGCCAGAGCGGGGCATATCTTTTAATGTGAAGGGTTGGCCCGTAGATATCCGGTGCACAGATGATGGGTGTATTTTAGTTGCAAATGGTGACGTATTCAGTTGTAAAACAGCGTCCGTATTCTCCAGCACAGGTAAATGTAATCGTGAGATCAGTATAGAGGGAGGGGGGAGGTGTATCACTACAGTCAGTAATGATAGATTCGTGGTCACATGTGAAGATAAATGCTGTAGACTGTATTCAACATCAGGTCAGGTTATCCGATGTTTTGGTCAGGGTGATATGCTTAACCCCTCGGGTGTCACTGTGGACCGTACAGAGGGTAAGGTGTACGTGTGTGATGGTGGTGCACAGTGCATCTATGTGTACGACGTGATATCTTTTCAACTTGTAAACAGAATTCCTATCCCAATGTGCAGTAAAGGTTCACTGCACTGTGCATACCACCACGGCATCAATGCAACCATAGTCAGCGACAGCAATACCCAATGTGTGTATGCAGTGACACCCCAGGGTGACGCCATGTTTCAATACGGGGAAGGTCAGAGAGGAAGTGGAGACGGACAACTGAATAGCCCACGAGGATTGTGCGTAGATAAGTTTGGACACATATTCATAGCTGACTACAGTAATCACAGGGTGGTTGTCCTTGGTTCAGACGGGAGGTTTCTACGTAACATTTTAACAAAAAGTGAAGGCATTGAATATCCTATGTCAGTTGATGTCAACAGTAACGGGGATCTTGTTGTTGGAACGTTCAATGGTGAAATATCCACGTATAAGTATATTGATAAGAAATAACTTATGATTTGACACTGGGATGATGTTTGAATTGTAATTAATATCACAGAGGAAAATTTAATTAACATATTTTAACGTACTTTAGAACCATCAAGCACCATGTTTGCTTTATATCCATGCTGAGAGTATACGGAATTTATGGATTTGGTAAACACAGTATAAGTGTAAAGTCATATGAGGTAATCAGTTTGATCGCTTTTAGCACTTTCATCCTTTGCAGATCACCAAATAATTGATTTCTTTCACAGTTAATATATTTATTTTATAAAATATAATTGATAACAGTGGATTTATCTTTTGAAACATGTTGATATTTTTTTCTTCATGTGAAGAGTTTTTATAGCTATATGATTGATATGGTATATAACAAGAATTATAAATATTAGGAGGGTGTTTTTTTTATATCGTTGTTACTGTTATCCCCTATCCATTAAAGTGAGGAACATGAGAAGTTGCCATTATACCCTTGTCACACTAGAGGCTGAATGAGCGAGAATGCCGTCGGAAATTATTTGTTCTTTCCGGGATATTCGAAGAGCATTCTAAAAATTCCGTGCGCATTCCAAATATTTTTACCCATTCTTGTGGCATCCCGAATGTTTTTCTAATGTTAAAAACGTTCGAAGTGCATTCCAAGTGGAAAATTATCGAATGGCATTTGAACAGTATTCTAACTGCACTATGACTGCATTCTAAATGTTCTCATGGCATTCCGACAGCATTATAAACATTCTGATAACATTAGAGGAAGATTCGAAAAGGCAAGTGACTTAAAGCCCCCGTCACACTTATTCGAAATCAGTAGGAATGATGCAGAGCCAGCCGGAATTTCTAAATTTAAAAATTCGTGCCATATTCGGGAGGGAAATTAAAATTAATTAAAATTGTCATGAAATATTACGGCTTTGTAGGAATCCCTCTGGAATACTTAGAATGTACATCGAACCGGCCTATAATTATTCTTGCACATTCCAGGTATATTACTATACCTCTCAAATGCATCTCGAATGTAGTTGGAATACTGTAGGGATATTACAAATATTGGAATGCCCTTCGAAAGTTTTTGACATGACAAAAGCATTCGAGCCGGCCACAAGAATGGGTAAAAATATTTGGAATGCACTCAGAATTTTTAGAATGCTCTTCGAATAACCTGGAATGCACTAAGAATTGTATTTTCGACGCCATTCTTAATCATTCCGTGACGGGGATATAAAATCCCGCCAGAATGTTTCGAATGTGCCTCGGATGAGCTGAAAAAATAATTTTGCCAGCAAGTGAACTACACTAGTGCGCCGTTCAAAGTATATTCTAAATATTCTGACTGCCTTCTGATAGCATTATAGATATTCCTTGTTTTCCAACTACATTCGAACTGCATTTGAGAGCTAAAACAGCCGAAAGTGCACTTATCATTCCAGGCGAGTTCAAGCGCATTCTAAGTATTCCAACGGTACTCTTAAAATAATTAAGTTAAATTTAAACTTTTTTCCCGAATGTGGTGCGAATTTTTAAATTCTTCATTCAGCCTCATTCTTCTAGATTCCTGCTGATTCCAATTAAGTGAGACTCGGGTATTAGGGATGTTAGGGTTAGACTTTGCTGGTTATTGGTACAAATACAACTTCATGTTTAGAAATAAAATCAAATGAGTTTTGATTTTGTTAAGTATCTCTATTATTATTATCATTTTGCATAGCACTGAGATTTCGCTATAAAAAGGCGGTCGCCAACAAAACAATTATTTCCAGTAATCTTTAGCATGTTAATGTCGACAGGCGAGTCGATCCGGGCATAATTAAACGAATACATGTAGTGCACAGTGTTGAAAGGACTTAAAATATAGTGCCGAATTAGAGAAAATAAGAGCAGGACCCCTGCTTTCTCTACCTGGGCACTGTTCTAATTTAAATACAATGTATAGGACTACCAGGATCTTAAGATGAAGGGGTCGAGAGAGGAATTGGGACATGACAAAAGCGTTGGTGTGATCATGAAAATTGAAAATTAACTCGAGGAGTAACATATTATTTCCACTGAGCACGGTTCACGTGTACTATAACGTGATGCCTAAAATAATATGTAAGTTACAGACTCAACTTAATACAAGATAAATTGTCGAATAAGCTACAGCAATCCATGGCTCTTATAAGTAATTACTTTATAGGATTTATCATTCGGATTCCCGAAGTATGTGGTATTATTAAGTGGCATATAGAAAAATAGACAAATAACAGTCGGATTTTCTGCCCCCATCTTTCTACGCTTATGACCGCATAAGGTGATTGAAAAAAAGTTGGGGTAAGCCCCTGGCCATTATACGTCACAATAAACAGCACACAATTGGTTTCTTTACATTGATATCGCTTTATTAATAATAAAAAAAATTCTCTCGAGAGGTGGACGCCACTTTTACCCATGTCTTTTGTTTATGTTACACATTGTTTAATCGTCTAAATTTCCATTAAAAGGAATCAAAACTCTGATTCACGAAGCTTATGATAATAAAGATGACGTAATTATTTTTTGAAAAAGTGAAGGGGAGGGGTCAGGCACCCCCTTACCCCTGATCCCACCCGCACCCCTCTGAATTCACCACTGTTGGTTGTAACCGCAAACCTTTCACTTCCATTTCTTGGCCGTGGTTCTGGTATTGGTATCAATGTACAGATATCACAATACCGCTACGGACCAGGACGATGATATGAATTTGAATAACTTACACCAATAGACCTAATCTCTCTTCACTGAGAACGGAGCAGGAAAAACATGTATATAAAACAGAAGCACAAGCATTTAAGGGAGTGGTGTGGGGTGTCAAAAAGCTTACTTTATCCCCTCACGACCTCATTCAGACCGATGAGTGCTTTTACCTGGTCGACAATTTACTTATGAATTGTTTCTTGACCCTTGCAAAATTACAGTGTAGAGACTCAAGGATGAGCAACATACCGAGTTGTCCATGAATAAAAGTGTCCATGAATTCTAAGCAATATCTTCATGCATTCATGACTTCTTAGCACTGTAGAATTATTTTCCACAAACAGCAGGTAAATATTGAAACAGTAATATCTCCATTAATTCGATGTTCCACGTAACATCGTTATCAGACCATGAGGCTATATCACGCTAAAACTTATCAATCGTAAAAGCTCTGAGACTGTTATAAATGGCTAACATTAAACGAGTTGTCATTTCAGTTTGGCGACGATTTTCATGCAAAGAGGACATGAATTTAAAGGTGAAGAGCCTATAAGCTATAATGGATAATACCCCAACATTTACAAAAGCGAAATGATAAAAGAAACGTTCATTCCTCTTTTCTTGCAACGATGGGTGGTGAAGCCACCAGGTTACAAATTTTAGTTGACTTGATTGATGGCAAGCAAAATAAGACTCATAACAAGTCCAAGTCCTCTCGCACGCACACTCCTGCTAGCAGCATATGACTCATAAATCACGTTGCGCTCTAATATCGCTCTGACTGTGATGTGAATATTTAACTTTATCAAACAATACATTAGAGTTATTAACATGCGTCATGGTCTTGATATATCATAATAGGGTTGGGGAGTTCTGACTATGTAGACTTTGACACCGTCCTCGTTATTGACAACATCACCTGATTGTTGACAAATTTGAAGCAGTAAAGATATGAAATGATGTATAAAGCATATGCAAAGGTCTGGCAGCAGTAGCGCGGGAAGCCTGCTTGAAGGTGCGCTGTGCCCACTCTGGGCGCCTATACCATGGCAATGGCTTCGAAAGAAATGTGCAGCGCCTTCAGCGAGAACATTCCTACATGTCAGATGTGCCTGAAGGAATATAAAGACCCGAGAGTGCTCCCCTGTTACCACACGTTCTGCCTGGAATGCATTTCTGACCATGCAGCCAAGAATGGTGTCCAGCACAAGTTCTCCTGTCCCGTGTGTCGCCAAGAGACCCCCGTACCACCAGGTGGGTTTGAAGCTTTTGTGAAAAATTTCTTCCTAAGCAAAGTAACATACTTCATGAAAGATCAGAAAGCGCCAGAGGGGAGACTTTGTAACTACTGTAAGCATAAAGAGGCCACTTTGCTGTGCCAAGGATGTCCAAAAACCAACCAACTGTGTGCTACATGTCGTGAATTGCATGACAGCATTCCAGCAATTAATGGACATCTCTTTGTACCTCTATCAACCGTCGATTTCTCAGTTAACCCATCTAACATACGAGAACAATCACATAAAGCTCAATACTGCGACAAACACGACGGCGAGTTGCTAAAATTCTATTGTGAAGAGGATGACACCGTGGCATGTAGAGATTGTATTTTGGAAACTCACAGTAAACACGACTTTAGAAAAATTAGAGATGTGGTGAAATGTCAACGGGAGTTAATACAAGAAAAACTGATATGTATCCCAAGTGAGAAACTGTCTCGTTTTGAAAAGGTGGAGAAAGCTATTGCAAGATTGGAGGAAAAGCTGACAGAAAATCAGACAAACGTTCTTTGTTTGGTGGATTCTCAAAAATTAGCTATGACGAAGGAGATAACGAAAAACAGTAAAACCATTGAAAAAGCAGTCGACGCTTATTATCAACAAATAGAGAAGGACGTACGTCAACAGACCGACGCGTATTTAACAAGTGTAAAACAACATTTGGAAACGTACCAAACAAAAGTACAGTCAGATTACATCGAAATGCAAAACGTTATAGATGACAAAAGCAACGAAATAAAGGCAGAAGTTACGGCACTCACCTCCACGCAGCTGAAGACTTTAGAAGCTGAAAGTGAAAAGCACAAAATAAACAAGACTTCCATTCAGAGCATTCGTGATTTCGCTCAGCAGCTCAAAGACACTGGTTCCGACATCGAGGTCATGGTTTATTCTAAAACACTCCAAACTAGACTTCAGGAGTTACAGACTTTAGAACCAGTCTTTAATACCAAAATTACAGACATAACATTTACACCAGGGCAAAGAAAAATGAACGTTGTGCTAAAGTTTCCTAAA